TGTGTGTGTGTGTGTGTGTGTGTGTGTGTGTGTGTGTGTGTGTGTGTAGCTTTCCAACCAGCTGAGCTGGGTGTGGGGAAGGCCCCTGAGGTCCTAGCCTGGAAGGCCAGGCTGATTCAGTAGGGAGGGCCCAGAGCCTGGAAATCCAGCACCTGTCTCAGGGATGTCCTTGGGCAACATCCCAAGTTCTGGCCTCACCTTGGCCACCTGTCGGATGGAGGACCTGTTGGCTAGGGCTGAAAATGGAATTTCCCTTTCAAGGTCCTAGTGTGCACAGCAGTTTCATTTTATGGAGGGGTAAACTGAGGCCAGGGAGGTGATGTCACCAGCTCACAGTACCTTGGTGAGGAGGCTGGGTCTAGGTGGCTTCCAAGGCTCTGGGGTGCCAGGACAATGTCCGAGCCCCGCCCCCATGTGCTGTCACTTACCTCCAGGGGTGCAGGCCCAGCGAGGGGCTGCAGGGGCTGCAGGGGCTGCTGGGGCTCAGCAAAGATGGGCTCTGGCTGCTCGGAGACAGACTGCAAAGAAAGAGGCCAGGGACGGTGAACCTGGTGGTGGCCCCTGCGTGTGGCCAAATCCGGAGAGGGACCAGGACTTAGGTTCCCTTAGGGAGAAGGGGCCCCAAGGCCCGGAATTCTGGGTCTCTCCCAGACCAAGAGGGCGGGGCCTGACTGATGACCCCGGAGGGCACCCCGGAGGGCTCCCCGGAGGCGGCGGTGCGACTCTGGGCGACGTAAACAGAGACGCGGGGTAAGGGTGGTTGTCTGTCTGCTTCTCTCCCCCCCCCACCCTATTTCCCCCCTTCTCCGACAAGGACTCACTCGAGGGTCAGCGCCGGGATGTGCAGCTTGTCCCTGCGAGACTTCATGCCGAGGCCGGGGCTGCGTCTACGCGGCCGGGTGCCAAAACCCCCCTTGTGGCCCCCGAGCCCCGATCGTGGTGCGATCGGACAGACCCACAGACGCGGACGTGGGGACAGCACGCCTGGCGGGCGCGACCGACGCGGCGCTGAGGCTGGGCCGCTGGGGGCGCGGGGGGCGGGCTCTCTCCTCCTCGGGGCGGGGCTCGGAGCCCCGCACCTGCGCGCAGGCCCAGCCCAGCAGGAAAAGTCGGGTTGCGGGAGGCTGGAGTCGCGGGTGCCACCCCCTCCCGGAAAGCGACGCCAAGGCTGCCGGGTCTCGAGCCCCTGGGCTGAGCGGCCGGAGAGGAAGGGCGGTCACTGTCTCCCAGATTGGCAATATTGCTCCATCGTCTGGCCCCGCCCCTTCCCGGCGGTGGCCGGGTCTCTGCCCTCGCCCCGCCCCCGGGGGGGGTCTCTCGCACCCGAGATCTGAGCGCGTCCTGCCCCTGTTCCCCCACCCCCAGCAGCTCAGCGCAGCGTTCGGGGCCCCTCGCGGCGGTCTCAGCATCCCGGTGCACACCAGAGGCCGGGTCCACGCCTCCAGGTCTTTGCTTCACCGGGTTCCCTCTGTCAGGAACGAGCGTCCTCCCCCCAACCCACATCCGAGTTCAGTCCCACGGGCCCCTCTTTCGCGGAGCCATCCCTAAACAACGACCCATGGCTCCCCGAGTCCCACCCTCCCTTTTGCCCAGTGCAGATCCCAAGAGTCCGGGGTTGTTTGTGTCTGGCTATGGCCCCCTCGACACCTCACTTGGACCCAGTCAGGAACACGGCAGGTAGCAAAGAGTAGACAACCCTCAGGGAGCCTCTGCCCTCGTCCTGCCCCGGTAGCCCAGGACTTTGCCCTCCATGGTTCCGACTTTTTCATGTCCACCACCCCGCCCTCATCCTGGGCAAAGGCCAGGGACAGTGCCTGCCTTCTGGTCAATGTCGGAGCCCTGCCCCTACTGTGCCCCTCAGGCTCCTCCCCACCAGCTGCACTATCCCCAGTCCAACAAGAACAGATGGTCTGGGCTTGGGGGCCAGTCTGACCCCATCCCCACCATCAGATTTCAAACTCTCATCCAACCCCCAGGAACTCCCCCTTCTCCTCTCCCTCTCCCTCCCCTGTGCTCTCTTCATTCCAGCTACCCCTGTCTCCATGGTGTTCTTCCAATGCCAAGCTGGTTTGCACCCCAGGACCTTTGCCCATACTCTTCCCTCTAGCTGGAAGGCTGTTCCCCTCGGATTCTCCCCCTTGCCTCTGCCTCCTTTTCCAGATCTAGGCTCAAATGTCACCTCCTCCAAGAGGCCCCACACCTTCAGGGCTAAAGCTGCCCCCTAGCCCCTCTGTCTGTCTCTGTTTAATTTCTCCCCTGTATAATATCACTTCACCATCACTCTCCCCAAGACAGTGTGAGCTCATGGACAGGGTCCAGCATAGGACCCTGTCTCTGGGTCCCCCGTGCCTGGAACAGGGCCCGGCACACAGTAGGCACTCAAAAAAAGTTTGTTAAGTGGGTGATTTCACTGTGGGGCAAGAGAATTCCCACCCCTCAGGCGAACACAGCCCCCAAAGAGGGGGTGTCTGCACTCAAAAACACCTCCAGACCACCAGCACAAGGCAAACCCCTCCCTGTCCTGGGCTTTGATTTCCCATCAGTAAACCAGCAAAGGCACTGACCAAAATATTCTGTGAGCTTTTGGGATCCAAAAATGCCAACCTACAGACAAACGCTAATGAGACCCTGAAGGATACACTTCTCTACCTGTGTTCCCCTAGAGTGAGGGCCCCATCATGGGAGGCATGCAAGCTGGTTCCAGGATACTTGGCTGGAATTCTATACTTTGGACTCTAGATGCGAGACAGTTTTCTCTTTTCCAGGCTGGATGCCCTTGTGTCAGTGGTACAACCCTACTACACTTCTGTTTCCTCAATTGCAAACTGGCATGGGCTTCCCAGCTTGTGAGAGCCAAGTGAAGCACTTCTGAAGCATTTTGGAACACTGGGAAAGGATCAAGGTTAGAAGCTTTGTTATAATTATTAAATAAATTCACAGTTTGGAGGCTGCTGCTGAAAAAATCTGTGCCCAGGACCACAGTGCCCGGCCCAGCCCACTGGCCTTAGATGAACTCACCCACGTCCCCGGCGTGGCAGGCTCAGCTCCTTCTGAAATGAGAGGAAACAGGGGTCACTCCCGAGGAGACAAACCCTTCACATCCCTGGCCCTCCACTCACCTCACCGCCGCCCTCCCCCCCGCCACCCCATTGGCCCCTTGATCACCCAGCTCCAGACAATGCCTCCTTTCTGCTGCCCTACACACTGGGCTCTGCCTGCCTCAGAGCCTTTGCACCAGCTGTGTCTTCTGCCGGGACCGCCTTCCCTCCCCTCTGGTGCTAGTTAATTGCACATCATCCCTCAGCTCAGGCATCCCTTCCTCCTGAAGCCCTCCCAGACTCCCAGTCACCTCCCTGCCCAGCTCATACCCTACTTGCACTAAAAACAGCTTCATTATTTTAAATAACAAATTAGTTATATTTATAAGGAAGTATCTCAAGAGTGGCTAAATACTAACAATCTGTTGAGGAAGGGAAGATTCTTGACTCATCCTCACCCTGCCCCCTCCCAGATCTGAAAGCCATTTCCCCCTCACCTATGCAGATTTGTGTCCTGGGAGCCGGTGGAGGGTGGGGGCCCTGATCCGTGACTCCCTATTGAAGACCCTTTTAGAGCTCAGCAAGCTGACTTGCATCAACCCTGGGTGTCCTCACCAGGGCAAAAAGCCCTGCACTTGGGGTCCATGGTGACCCCAGAGTCCATCCTCAAATGTGGCTCACCCAAGAAGGTTTTTAAATTCTCAAAAGGCCATGTAGCACCAGTTTAGAATCTGGGGATACTCAGACCTGGGTCCAGATCTACTTATTATCTGTTCCTTCCCGGCTGTGGGACCTTAAGCAAGTAACTTGTACCATCCGTGCTTTGATTTTCCCATCTATAATGTGGAGGTAACATCAGGAGGGGTCCAGGGTAATAATGATCAGTTAGTATTACTGTTGCTGTTGTGTGTTGCTGTGTTATTGTTGAGCTCAGCCAGGGCCTAGGCGGACTATCATAATACCTGATATATTTCACATTTACTGAGTCGCCTACTACAGACCAGGAGCAGGGGCCATTTTACAGGCTGGGAAACTGAGGCGTAGAGGGAAGCCAGCTGCCCATGTCTCCTGGCACAGAGAAGGCGGGGAATCCAGGTCTCTGGACATCCCTCCCTCCCCCCCCTCCCCGCCCCAACACACACACACACACGCCAGGGCGGTCGCGGCGGGGACACATGACTATTTTTACCTAGGTGGGCTCTGGGCTGCCCACATCCAGAGCGGGGCGTTCACCATGGCAACCACTGACGTCATCGGCCTCCGCAGCCAATTCGAGAGGGCCGGAAGCTGCCCCGCGCCAGGACGGGGCTGGGAGAGGTTGGCTGGGTCCCCCAGCTGGGGAAGGGGAGGAGGGTCCACAGGATTGGGGTGTCACTCCGAGGCCTGACCCCAGCTACCTTGAGCCCACAAAACAAAGCCGAGCTGTTCAAGATGGGAAGAGGCGGACCTGCCATCCTGAGATGTTTCTGTCTGCTTCAATGAATACCTCTGGGGACCGAGAGCTCACTAGCATTCAGGGCAACTGATCATTGTCCCAGGAACCACCACCACCATTAAGGCCTCCTTCAGTCCCGCCCCCCCCCCAGTTGTTTTGGGATCTTATGCCTGCTTACCCCTCTCCTCTAACCTGTGAAAGAGTGAGGAGTTGGAATCTGAGCCCAGGGCTACTTGCTGCACCCCTCCCCCATCCCAACCATTTCCTTCCAAAGCCCGGCAGTCCTGGGTTCCCAGGCAAGCGCCCCCTCATCTGAGCTGTGTGACCCCCGCCAAGCAACCTCACACCTCTGTGCCTCAGTTTCTTCATTTGGAAAGCCTCCTGGTGACACAAGGTCTTGGAAGGAATCCAGTAGCAAGCCAAGGGCCTGGCACTGGGGGAGGCTTCAATAAATCAGAGCCAAGACAGTGAATTTTGTGAGGTTAATAATTACCAGCAATTGAACAACAAATTTTAATTTGCTTCCAAAATACAAAAAGATGTGAAGTGGCAGAGAGAATCGAGGGAAGGTCGGCAGCCCCCTGCAAAGGCTCTATGGAAAGCTAGGGCCACATGGAACTCTCTCGGCACCGCCCCCGGACCCTCTGCTCCCAGAGCCATCTGCTTCCGCCTTCAGCCCCCTCTTTGCAGGCTGTTCCCCAAGGAGTGGCTCCCGCGTAGACTGGGGTAGGTGGGGGCCCAATCCCTTGGAACTGCCCTTTAAAGATAATATTTACGGCATCCTCTTCTGTTCTTGGCTGGGCTGGGCAATGCTGCCTTCCAGCCAGAAGCCTCAGCTCCATCCCGAGGAACCCCCAATCTGGAGAAGACAGAGCAGGGAATGGACACCCCCATACTGGAGGCATTAGCGGGGACCCGGGGGGAGAGAAGGGGCTGGAGGGGGGGAGCCAAGAGGCTTCCTGGAGGGGGGTGTCAGGCTAATGGGAATCTGTAGGGTGGAGGCGGGACTCAGCCCGGTTGGCACCAAGCCCCATGGGAAGTTGGCAGCTGCAGTGAAGGGAGAGAGAAGTCAGCAGGGACCCCATAGCACCAGCCTGAGGGCTTTTGGGAGGAATAGAATAAGTGGAAGTGGGCCACGAGGAGGCAAGATGGACCTTCGAGGGAACCCCTCCAGCAGCAGCAGAGACACAGTTCAGATACAAGCTCTGGCCATCTTCACTGCCCCTGGATTTGGGCACCTGGGGTTTTAAAATTCTGTCCTTTGTGAAGCAAAGGTCCAAGCGGGAGATGATAAAAAATAACGATAAAGTAATACGAATAGAAGCTGTAGCAATAAGTTTGCATGAACTAGCACTTAGAAACACTGCACAGAAGACAGAGCTTAAGCCAACCCAGGAAGGCCCAGGTGCTGGCTCTAGCCTCGACCCAAGGCAAACTGGTGGTCGGAGGGCCAGACCAGGGCCTGTTCACCACCTCCCAGCGCACAGCCAACTGCACGTCCTACATTGGCACAGCCAGCCTGGCCAGCATGCCCAGAGCTATTGCCTGGACTGCTCAGTCAGCAACTGACCCAAGTCCCCTCCACTTCCTCAGGCTTTTATGAATTGACTCTTTGACCTTTGGCAAGGGTCAGCCTCCAGAGTATCTGATTGGCTCTGACCAGTAGGCTGCCACCTGCTTGGCGGGGAGGGGGGCGGTTCTCCTGGGCCCATTAACAGAGCTCCAGTT